AGCAATAAAAAAGCCCAGATGAATTCATAAAGATCTACCACACAATCTTAGATACAGGCACACTGTGGTTTTTCTCTACAATACTCCACATCCATGGAGCATGCCACCATGCTTATTCTAATCTGAAGCAATCCAAGCAATAAATTCAGATTCTGCTTTTGAGGGCAGCATCCAATCCTTCCCTTTCTTCAGYTGCTAAGTCTTCCCTCCCCAGAGGTGGGCGTCTGTCCTGAGGCACAAACAATAAATAGTTTACCCTTTCCTTGGAAACTTGTATTTTTATTACCTTGCTTTTCCTCTAAATTAGATCCTGCTCAAGGAGAGTTGCTGCAGGGTAGGTCTTCTGTGAAAATTTCAGTGAATTACAGCTGCTATACCAAATGTACCTATTTGGTGTGATATTGGGATTGTGTTACCAGGTGAAGAAAAAGGACATGACTTCTTGGAAGTGAGGACATTGAGATGGCTATGTAGGTCATAGCACAGATGGCTGGAGAGATTGCTTGACACCAGGACAATGGACTTCTTTGATGGGGGAAAAAATTGCTYCTCTAGAACTCACTTGTCCCTCTGTGATGTTAAAGATGGCCTTAAAAGATCAGATGTCCCCAGTGGTTCAATTAATTTGGCTCTCCCTCCCTGTAGTTTCCAAGATAAGATGAAAGTGGGGAAATACTTAAAGGGGAATAAGGAGCACATTTCTCATTCTTAAAAAGTCTAGTAAGTTCTTCATGTTAGGGTGAAATTTATTTCCTTTTTCTCTCCTACAATTGCTTATTTCTCTAAAAATAAAAACCACACAAAATCAAAAGAAAATAAACCCAACAAAATGCTGCAGGAATAATGCTAAATTCTCAGCAATAAGGAAAACCAATACTGAAGTTTTCTATGCAGCCYTAATAACAAACTATTGCGAATGGTGATTATAATGCCATTATTCTTTATGTAACTAAAATCTATATTTTGTATACAAATATTCACATTTTTTTTTCATCAGCCTTGCAGAGAGTAGGAAACAATTTTTRGGGACTCAAAAGAAAGTCCACTAAGGAATTCTTTCAATATGCATAGAAGTTGTGTTTTCATTAACAATGAAGAAGTGCTGCTGTGATTCAGGACCCAGAACCTCTCTTGTTCTTGCCACAGAATCCTATTATTGTCTGAAGAAAACCTCTAATAATCTTCCAAAAGTTTGCTTGTGTTGTTACTACTTTTTGTCTTATTAGGAGCGCAGGGAAGATCAGCCATGAGTGCTWACAAGTCCCTCAGTTTTGTCCCTATCTTAGTGCAGAGCTTGGGTGACAGAAAGTGGGCAAGGATTGCAAACATGATGAACAACCAAACAAGGAAAAAACTCTGAATTTCATCTCATGTCATGTTTGTCATTACTGAACTCTGAATAATGCAAGCTCTAAAGATAAACGCTATCCACTAATGCATTAAAATATTTTGTCAAAATGCAGACACAAAAGTTGCTGAATTATTGTTGACTTTTCATGGCTTCATCTCCAGAGTTGAAAGAAAGCTCTTTGAACATATAAAGTTCTGTGATGCCCGTGCCAAATGCTCCTGTCAGAAAAGGCAGTTTCAGYTTGCATGCATTATGCAAAGTGCCCAGTGCTGGCTGCAGAGTGATGGTGTAAAATTCTGTCTTCAAATGGCCACTTGCTGCCTGGGAAAGTAAAGTAAACAGTTTCTGTGTTCTTTAGTAACAACTTCCATGAGGATGTTGCTCCATGTCTCAATTCTTTCCAATTCACAGCATATTCTTGCTGCAGCTTGAAACTTAACAGGAGTGGAAAGATAAATAAGAAGCAATCACAGCTGACTTTTTGCAATTTCTGTCCAGACAAGTTAAAGGGTTTTTCGAATTCTGTGTCTTGAACTTTTAATTTTTTCAGTGTATGCAGCAAGAAAGAGCAAAGGACTGATATGAAACTGTTCAAATCCCTGTTCCCATTCTCTCTTCTTTTGATGCAGATAGTCAGAAGTACAGTTTCTTGCAAATAAGGCTTGCGATTCAAAGGAAAAAATTATATGATTTTCATTGTAATAACACTTGTTTTGATTAAGAGTTCTACAAGCCTTTGTATCTGAAAATGTTGGCAAAAGTCTCAGAAAGATCTAAACAAGACACTTAACTCCCATAACATTTCAGAAACTTTTTGATGTAAACATATGTTTCAGAAAAAAAAAACAGTGCTGTATTTACATTCTCCTTTGACTGTAGAACTGAACATTTTTTTCTTGATACATATTTTTATAAAAGACGTTTTCTTGGAGTAGCACGAGGCAAATTCAGCTGATATATTTGGATCCTATTTATTATTTTTGACTCCCATCTAGTGGCCATCACGCAGTACAACAGGATAAAATTCCTCTAGCAACAGAACTTTGTCTTGCGCCGACTTGTGGTTACCTGGTGGTGCAAAACCAGGGACTTCTTCCAGCTGGTGATAACTACAGTTCTAGCTAATAGACTTTAAATTTTCAAAAATTCATTATATTTTAATCTGAAGTGAAATCTTTCATAGAAACCTGCCTTAGTTTCTGACTGGAAGAAGTAAGATTGGTAATATAATATCCATAAAAGGGTCGGGGGGGGGGGGGTGTGTGAAGAAAATAACAGAAATCTGCAAATAAAATCATATTCCTTTAATCCAACTGAATCAGTTGAATATTTAAGTCCACTGTTAAAGAAATCAATTTAATATTCACTCTTTATTCAACATTTCACTCCTGTAAGAGAGATTTACTTTTATCTTCATTTATTTATATGCAGCTTTTAACTTCTGCTTTAAAATTCTCAGGCAACCTTATATATATACTTGAAATTATACTGCCATTGCAGAAATTAGTTGTAATGAGCACAGGAGTGAAAAATTGTCTTCCATTTTATCTAAAATTGAAGGAATTATGTGCCCTCCTGCCCTCAATAGAAAAATAAAATCTACAGATTCTGTATTGATTAAGAATCTGTATTTGCTTGCATCTGTTTAAAGGAGGAAAAATCATTAAGTCAGTGAAATACAAACATTATGAAATTAGGGTATGAGGAGCTGAACCCTACATTACTCTTATGAATATTTTGCATTTTTCTATTTAGGAATTCAAGTGAAAAATATATTGATTGAGAATAAGTAATAGCAGTCAGGCTAGTAGAAATGGTAATATGGTTAAGGACTAATGGCACTACAAGATACAAGGGACATTTTACTGTGGCACTGATGGAATCTTTACCTTTCCAATACATTCTCAAATATATTTTTGTGAGCTGAGCTTGCAGTTGTCACAAAGATGCAACAAATAGGAAAAATGAAAGGCAAAGAGGGCCTCTGCACAGTCCAAGATCACCRAGAAGGCTGGTGGCAGAAATCTCATTTAATATCGCATGGTTTAAGCTTTCTTAGTTTGAGTTTGATAAAGCAGTATCRCATATAAAGACACAAAAAAGTATGCAGGCATAATAAAATTAAAGCAAATATGGAAAGAAGTGTATGTGTTTCGATTTACTGTCACTTAATTTTTCTGAAACTTACAGTGGAAATAGAAAAAGATTACTACACTCTCCTGAAGTTCTTTAATACTATTTTCTGCATTTATTTTTTTAAAAAAGAGAAACAACAAACCAACTACATTTGCTTTTCTACATTCAAATTATAAGAGGTGAATACAAAGGAAATAATATAGTCCAAAAGTGGCAGGAGGCTTGCAGTTCCAGAAATTTTTTCAAAGTAASGAATAAACAATGAAATAAATCATGAAACAAAAGTCCATTATCTGTCAGGCAATGTGCATCTGTGTCAAAATAAGCAATATATATTTATTTGACTGGTTCATTTAACAAAAGAAGAAAAGGTCATGGGAATGCTGTCACTTCAGAAAAGGAATGAAGTGACAACCTCATTGAAACCTCATGTCAATGGTAGATAAAACAAGCCAGTAGAGAGTAGCATGTACCAGCTGTGGCACCTGTGCCAGGCTGAAGTCTAATCAACAGCTGACTTGCACTGCATCTTTCCTGCTTATATTAGCTGTAGCTGGAAACCAGTGGGCGTACTTCAAATCAAAACCATTTTCAAAATGAAAACTTCATATGGGTTCAGAAAAAACCACATAATATGGTGCTAGTACTGGACCATGTTTAAAAAATCATCTTCTGTACATCCCTCATTCTTAAATGCTTTAGCAGTATTATTTATGTCCCTGTTAGTATGTCAAATGAGCCTAGATATCTTTTCTTCCTAATCCACACATTGGTAATCTCTCAGATTGCATTCCACAAGACATCTAAAATTGAAGCCACATGCTGCAAAAGCTCTCCCCAAATGCAGCTGCTGGGTTGCCAAACAACCATGAGCAAATCCTCGTGGCACCACCCACCCTGTTCTGGTGTCCAGTTGTTTGCAGACTCCTGTTCAAAGTCTCCTTAGTTGCTTCGATATGCAATTGTAAAATTACAACTCTAATGCAGGCAGATGTGCCCAAACACACACATATGCCTTAATGTGACCACAGCACTTGGTTTATTGTGATAAGACAAATTATGTTCTTGAAATATTTTTGTAGTAACAAGATATTAGGATTGGGTACTAAATAATGAAAAAGCCCTCAGCTGCCCTAGCAGTGAGAGATGGGATAATTGGGGTCCTGAAGAAGAAAAAAATGGGACCTGAAGAAGAAAACAATKAAACATGATGTTTTCTCTGGTATAGAACTCTTGGATACTCTACATGCAGAGAAGTATAAAGCTTCCTGTACTTCTTGTAACACGAGTTTTTTCTCTGCCATGTTTCCTTCTGACTTATGCTTTGTGTTTATCAGAGATTTTGAAGTATCTCTCTTGTGTGCCTTTTGTTTTTCATGTTGTATGGCACATGACCAGTTCTTCTCCATTACTATCAAGAAGTAATTAGCTATGATAATTTTGTCAGGATGGTGTTTATTAATTTTAAAATTCTTAGGTCAATGCCACAAAAATTTTTCTCTTCTTTTTGCAGTTTCGATGTAGACAATGGTACATCATCAGGACGAAGTCCCTTGGATCCCATGACAAGCCCTGGGTCAGGGCTAATTCTTCAGGCAAATTTTGTCCACAGTCAACGTAGGGAGTCTTTCCTTTACCGGTCGGACAGTGATTATGATCTGTCTCCAAAATCCATGTCCAGGAATTCCTCCATTGCTAGTGATATGTAAGTACCTTTTAAAATATTTCTAGTCTATAATTTGCCCAATATCGAGACTTTTGCAGCCGTTAGAAGTTTGGTTTGTTTTTTTTTTTTTTGGTTTTTTTTTTGAAAATTGAACCAAGTATGCACCTTTGATATAATAACTGCATTTCCAAAGCCACCAAATTCACCACATGGATTCAATGTGTGTTTTTTTGGTTTTTTTTTTGAAAAATCAAAGACAGCAATCACTTATGCTAGTGAAGTAATGGAAAATTGTTTGTTTATTATTTTAATAAAGATTATACTTATTCCTGCAGCTTTCTGAAGGATATCATGAGGGTGCACTTGATGTATTTATGCACTCTGTTAGCTTTGACAGAATAATAATGACAGTCAATACTGGCATACTAAAATAGTGAAATACTAAGGAGAACCATATTCTGTCTCTTAAGTTATTTTCAAGACAAACAATACAAATTCAATTTATGCTTCTTCATCTATCCAAGAAATTGAATCAATTTATTTACACCAGGGTTTTGTTAGGTTTTTAGAGAAAAGGTTAACAAGTTGGCAGAAAATAGAATTCTTGAATATATWTATTAGAGAGAGAAAAAATTATTTCAAATACCACCTTAACTAAAAGACAAAATTCTAACAAAAGACGTTTATAAATATAGTCTGTTCTCTGTCACTRTTCTGTGAGGTGTGTATTCTCTGCTCGTGAGTCATGCTTTTCAAGTATGTATAGACCCCAGGTTGCATGTGTAGTGGAAGTCAGATACAAATCTCTATTTCTTTGTCAGACACCAAAAATAATTAAATGTTCTATCTTCTAGTGACTTCTAAGTAGGAGAAATGAATAACTCTGTTTGTTTGGTTGYTTTTTTGCCTAATCTGCACCAAATTTCATGGCCAAATTGGTGTTTGTGCTTCAAATATATATCTAAAATAAAGGGTCAGTCTTAGCAGAATACCTCAGTGAATGCGGCTTTTAATGAGACAAAAACCAATCGATATCCTCTTTAAAAAAATAAGAGTAGGTGCAAAAAAGAAAAAGGGTTTTCATAATAATGAGTGAAATTAGAGCTGATATTTAACTTGAAGTCATAAATGAACATTCCTATTTTTCCAGCTTATATAATTTTTAAAACTGTTATTATTTAATTTAATTATAGCTCTTCTATTTAGAATGTCAAAGCAAGAAAATTTCCTGCCTTTAGTGAGGGTTAGTGTAGGTCCATGACTCAGTTAAGCGCTGTAGATTGAAGTACTCAGTAAGCTTTGTGCCGAGTGCAACCAATTTTTRTTGAGACAAAATGAGTTAGAACAAGACCGATTCATCTAGCTTTGTTATAAGGAAAAATGCGTTTTTCTTGGAAGTAGTGCCCCCCTTCCAGCAAATCTTCCTCTGACAGATATCCTTTCTTTTAGAGGGAGACGAGTCAAGCTTTTTGTATGGAACATGTGCCAGGATAGCATTTGTAAAGATTTTTACATTCAGGAGGACAATTCAACTGCCTGCGTTGCTTAGATGAGTCATTTCAATGAAGAATTCAATTAGTGCTCCATCCTTGAACTTGTAATCCACTTCATTTCCTAGAATTTTGGATAATATTTCAGCACATGGCAGTAAATTGGATAAACAATATAATTACTGAAACAGCACACACTTTTCCCCTTTTTACCCTATCTATTCTTCCTTTCAAAATTTTCTGGAAACACATTAGCATATAAAATTTATTTGACCTCACATCTTTAAGATTTTCACAGTCTCTTGTCACAGGTGAACTTTTGTACTAAAAAGGCAAATATTCCTGGCACTGTTTAGGAGGGAAGCACATTAGGTAATATAAAAGGCAAGTTGTTCTGACCATGGAATATTAATCATATATCAATAAGCCCAATTATAATAACCTTGATTGTATCACAGAAATGAAGTGAAAGAAAGCCAACAAATAAAAGGGGAAAATTAAAAATGATGAAATAGCAAGGGGAAAAAAATAAAAATCACAAAATTCTTTATGCATGGATTCAATGATAAACTGAGTGAAAAGGAAATTATTATTAAATTATTAAAGTATTATCAAAATAAAGAACCAACTTTGATTCAGGAGTTTGCTAAATAAGATGGAAGATAGAATGGTTGACAGGGGAAGTAGAAAAATTTTAGGTTAGTCCCAAATTATCCTATTTCCCTTTACCATCTATACACGTGCTTAAGTATAGTTTGTTTTTTAAACATGAGCAATATACATTACCAAATAGATATGCCATTCCTGTAATATAAGTGGACTAATTGCACATAACTATTTAGTCTAGATCCCCTGATTCTTCAACCAGCCTTGATATTCTATTTTGTAAAGAAGAGAAAGCAAAAGGTTTATATCTTGTGTTTGAAAGGAATAGAATATATAAAATCCTAGCATTTACATTACTCTCAAATACTGAACTTACAACAGTCAGTAGCAACAAAAACTATACTTCAAGTTTTTAGTCAAATTTGGAATGCCATGGTAAGACAGCCAGTGGGTGGCAGTGTTAAAATGTTGAATTCATTTTGTCATTATTTATTATACATGCAGCTCCAGCCAAGGAAGGGGACAAGTTGTGCTCAGATTTTTTCAAACCAAATATGAAAAGATGGGCTCTGCTATGATTTATAAAGTCAAAGTATAAGGTGATGACGAAGAGACTAATACAGTCAGGTACTATCCTCAGAGGAGGTACAACACGAGTCACTATGCCTAAAGTAGTAAACCTCACAGAGAAAGCAAAGGGAATTTCATTCAGGGAGTTGGGATGGAAAGTAAAGAAACAAGCAAAGACACAGATGAAAAGTTTTTGGGTTCTTTTATTTTTTTAAAAAAAATCTGAGAATCCAAATCTAATAATTTTGATGAATTAGTTGTGGAAAAGAATAGAAGTCAGGATGAGTGCAAGGCTGTTTCAATGAGAGAAGGCTAGTTGGACAAATATGGGTGTAGATAAGCAGAAAAAACAGCTGAATGTAAGAAAGTAAAAGCACATAAAAAGAAGTGATAGTAACATTGTTTCAATTATCCCTTGGAAGAAATAACGTGGTCTTCGAGAATAAAAGAAGGACATGGAGATTGTATGAAGACACTAGGAAAAGCTGGTGAAGTTTGTGATCAGGAGGGGACAGTGGTTTGGACAGGAATATGCAGGGTCCAAGAAAGATTTACGAGCTCTGTGATGAAAGACAGGAAAACAAGTTTAAAGGGAAGGGAATTGAATGGAAGACAGAGAGAAAGGATGGAAAATAAAAAAAAAAAAAAAAAAAATAAAACCCCACCCTAAAAACGCTCCCAACACCAACACAGGGGACATAGGGTACAGGACCTAGCTGAAAAAATTGCAAAGTTGTCTCTGGGAGAACAGGCATACATTTGAAGACATTGGTGAAGCAGAGGTTTGTGTGGGTGTTTTACTGAGGCCTGATTATTTAATGCTGCCTTGCTTGGAGTGCTGTGGCTTCCCAGAAGTTGCAAATGCAGGAAGAGGTAGAAGTGGTAATACTTTTTATGCCCTTCTTGTTAAGGGATCACTGCCCTGGTAAATGGGGCAAGAGATCAAATTACTAGAGAATTTCTGCTTTAGCCTAACCTAGGTCTCTAATCTAGTTAAAAAGAATAGATTCCTAGGAAAAAAAAAAAGGCAATACGCCATCCAGTGCTGCATCACTGCCCATTATGACACCGAAAGGGAGAAAACAGGTATAATCCCCCTTTGATCCTGAAGAAGCAGACCAGAGGATAGCAGTCTGGACCAGAGGACCAAGACACTTTCAGTATACAAGTCTGTCCAAGCTCAAGTATGTCTGCTGAGTATAAGACATCTTCTCACTTAAGCCAATTTTTCTGTCCTTTACATAAGGTCACAGAACACAGCTCAGACACGACATCTGGGCTTCTCAGGACTTGGCCAACCRAGTCTCACTTGTAAAAACCAACTTCTGGGGACAGTTTTAACAGCTTTCATTAGAGAAGCTCAGCACTATTTTCTTCATCATCTTGTCACTCTAGGTTCTGACAAGTATTATTACACAAAATTTGCTGATTATTATGAAAACTTGCTTCCACCTTTTAAAGGAGAAGAACCCAGCCAAGAAACACTGTAGGGAACTGCAAGGTCATTGGTCTGGTGACCTGCTAAATGGCCACCATACACCCATACCCTGAGCTGGAAAACCAAATGCTGTTCTGTCAGTAACTTCTGAAGACAACAGGATCCCTGTGCTGCTGTCTGTGATTAAAGAAATATCAAGAGGTTGCAGTCTACTCCACAACATTTTCCTTATTACTGCAGTTACAGAGGATATATTTTCTCATCCAGAACAGGAAGGCAATCTATTTGTTTGTTTCTGAGCCAGTAAGGCCTGATTTTATTAATGAAATATTGTGAGTATGAATCTGAATTTATGGAGAAAAAACCCCACCTTTTTCCTGAAAAGTGCCGGCCAAAACTCTAGGACAACACACAAGGCATGCAATTACTGAGAGGAGTAATTGCACCTCACTTTAACAAATTAGAAATTATCTTTTCTCCAGGGAAATTGCTGCTAAAATTCCTTTTATTGTATCATATTCTCTTCTAAGAATATCTGATATTCCTGTATTATGGGGATTATTTACTGAAAAGAGACAGTTAAACTTCAAAGTGCTCTACAAAGATATTCTAAGATTAATTTTCTATGTGTAACTCAATTTAAAAACAATTTTAATGAAAAAATGCATTAACTTGCATGAGACATTTATTTATTCATTGAAAGAAATGTTCTTACATCACTTTAGGAAAAACAGGCAAATATTTTACTCCCTTGTGTTTTGCTTTTTTGTCCTTAAGATCCTTACAATGTTTCATATTGCAGCTTAAATTACTCTAAGTAATTTGCAAGTAATTTAAAGTTTTTTCTTTTTTTTTTTGTTTAGTTATAAACAAAACAAACAAAAAAAAACCTAGAAAAAAAATTCCCAATTACTCTGTCCTTTCCAGTTGTTTGG